ATAAAGTCTAGATTTGTTTTAGCGAAAAAAAAAATTTTGGGGTTAGGTGCACTTTAACGTCATAATAATTATACTCAGGGGGTGGTTACACGGTTCACCAAGCCAGAGGCTCATGGTTAAGGTGGCTTTATAGGGTAATCGTTTATCGCGTTGCGCGCGTTAGTATTATGTTTTGAATGTTGTTTTTGCATTCATTTTTACACCCAGTCCTCTCAAACTTGTTGAATGTAATATGCAATGATGAAATATTGTTTTACTATCATCTCTGTAAACATTTTGCCTTTTAGTCTTGGCTTTAGTTATGATTTTGTTGAATTTCCTTCCGTTTAATCTTCCAAAATTTCCACAGCACATCGCATCTTGCGGATATGAATTTAAAATACGAAAGAAGTAGGGTTTGTTAAGGCAGTTTCTTTGATTTTTGCAAATTTATATCTTTCACCGCTGCGGAAAACTGGTCTTATAGAATTCCGTGAAAAACGAACGCCAACTAAAGTAAAATATTTATTACCACTCTGCGAAATTCTAAGGAATTTCACCAAAGGAAACGCGAGAAAATTCACTGTTAGTTTTGCTTTTTGTGATCACGTTGACGCCATAAAATATCAAAAAACATCAACGTTTTCCTGAGCTCACGTAGATTACTAAACATTTCGTCTTCAGTGCGCGCAATCGTAAAACTTTAGGGAGCCACCTTAAAGTGTTTGACAAGCTAAAAATACTACACAAATCTATGCAATTAATTTGGTCAAGTCTAAGTTGCTTTGAGGCCAACTGTCAGGTCCCAGTAAAGATGTAGCAAATGAAATATGAATGGTCACTTAAAATTTCAATCCATCTGTCAGTGGTCAATACAGATTAAATAATTTGGAACCACCAAGAACATGGAGATTAAAACATGATTGTCAGATAAAATTTGGGACCAACTGTCAGTTGTCAGTGAGGATGTTGAGATAAGATTCATAATTATTTTGAGTGCGGGCACTTCAAGGCCTGTTCAAATTATGATGGTCAACATGACTAGATCTGCACATTTTAAATTGCTTGTAGTAAGACGAAGAAGTACCACTTCCAGTTGACAAATCCTTGCAAAAACCCTCACAGAACTTCACAATCTCTCCGTCTAGTAAACCAAAAAGTCATGGATGTTCCAAAATAATCTTGACACCAACAAGTAATATTCAACCAAATATCTCAAGACTGAATTCAATTCCCTAATGCACAGGTACAAATGTACCTGTTCTTTAAGGTGATTAAAATTTATAATGATACCAGGGGTTTCATTAAGGGATGGGCACCAGCCAAATTGAATGGCTGAGAAGATGATTTTGCCGCCCTGGTTTGAACATCCAGAGGAACGTTTTCTTAGAAAGAAGTTCAGTTTAAAAGGTTTTGCTTGCCTGTGAAAACCAGCTACCCTCCTGCTGATACATGTACATGTTCACACTAGTCCACTGACTACAGATATACCATGTAGAAAAACTTCGACTGACCTTCCTTGTCTGATGTATTTCTCTTCCTCCACTGATCCTTTGGTGTTTATGTGGTTCTTGTTTGCCCTGACAAGAGATACAAACATATTGTCAAGTTACTTATGATTTCTTACAGTTGGTACATGTATACTTTAGCATTGTAAATTTAACTGATGGAATAAGAACTAAGGGCCTGTTTACAAGGAGAGAGGGTTACCCTAGAAGGCGGGTTACCTTAGCAAGTGGGTTACCCTACAGCACTCACACACTTCCTCTTTTTTCCTCCATCATGTTTACAATGCAGCTAGGGTTACCCGCATAGGCAGGTTACACTATCTGCGTGCTAGGGTTACCCTGGCAGGCGGGTTAACTTTCTAACTGTTTCCAGACCCTTTGAGTGTAACCGTGCATTAAGTTGTCCCAGGATGTAGGGTTACCCTACCAGTAAAATTTTACTTGTAAACCAGGGCTATCTTTTGTTCTCCAGCTAAGGTAACCCGGCCCGCTTGCTAAGGTAACCCTCCCTCCTTGTAAACAGGGGCCTGTTTCTCGAAAGCCCCAGAATCTTTTTGGGCCCAAAAAGCCATTTTTAGTTAATTGGTATTTAAAGACAGAGAGGCGCATAAGCCTGAAAATCCTTGTATAGAGAGAACCTCTGCTCGTATTAAGAATATATGATTGAAACAGCTCTGTAGTCAAAAGGTTTGAGATTTTGCTGCGGCTTTTCGGGTGTGAAAACTTCATGTGGGACTTTTGAGAAACGGTCCCAGACCCTAATAAAAGTAGTAACATATACAACTGCAGGTATACAACTGTACTTGTGAATACCATACCAGAAAGTAACTGACCTGGTCTACATGAAGCTGTATCTGCCTCTGCAAATGGTTTTACATGTAGTAGTCCTTCTTGTTTGCCTGAATAAATGAAAATATTTCAATGAAAGACCTATCAATTGCTGTTTACGTTTGAGTAGAATTTATTACATGTACATGCAACGTGAAAATAGCATTCAAAAACGTTGTATTAATAAAAGTGACCAATCAAACAGCAGCTTTAATTACATTTTTACAGCATTCTCTAGGTAACCAAGTTCATTATTTCAACCGTCTCAACACACCAAGATGATCTAGTGTTCTTTTGAATGAAGCCTCAAGGAGAGGGGGGGGGGGGTCCATTGGTCATCAATTTGTTACTAAGGAAGGTTTCAAACCCTCATATTTTGAAAAGCAGACCTCCTAAAGATAAGCTTTTTGCACAAGTTTGTTCCATTGAAGGGTCCTGCATAAGTTTTGAAATGATGGCCATATTTTAACCAGTTACGTGACCAGAACAGAAAAACCTCTAAGACTTAAAAGGTATCTAAATCCGAAAATTTAAGGGGCTTTCTTAGGGAGCTTTAGCAAACTATGATGACGACAGCAATGAGAACATCACCAAACAAAAGGTTTCATGAGCAAAACAATAGCATGCATTATAAATCTTTTTACATTTCTTTAATGTCCTCTGCAAAACACAAATGTGCAATGATCAAGTTCTGCGTTGTCTCAGAAGGCAAACGACGAGGGCTAATTTTTCGTATTTCCATTTGGAATTGAATGCAGTCATCACAAATTTAGCCTGAGCAAAATTTTAAGAGCCATTGGCATACTGAACAGATCTAATGTAATGCGATGGAACACGCAAAACATGCTAAGAAGTAATGCTGAAAAGACGGAGGTTATACTATTTACATCCCGGTTCACCAAGACACCTAACATCGAGAAGCTCTGTTTCGACAGTACCGTCATTGAACTAACTGAGAGAGTTTGTGATCTTGGTGTTAATTTAGATAAAAACCTATCACTGACATACCACATAAATGAGACGTGTAAGAAAGCAACTAACACCATCAGGTCCATAGGCCGCATTTGCAAATACCTCACCAAAGAAAATCTCAAACTGTTAGTTAATGCGCTTGTAATATCCC